CTTATCCATCCCTCCCTTTGCTTGTTCTCCCTGTAAATTTGCTCGTTTAAAGCGCCTGCTGGCACTGTCCCCTCTCCATGGGGGACATGTACAGTGCACTGGTTAGGAGCGTCTCCCTCTGCCCCAGTAGCCAGAGGGCCATGGATGGAGTAGGGGCTTTGGGGGCAGCAGTGGACATCTGAGGACAGCTCTGGAGGGACCCTCTTGCCATGGCACTGCAAATGGGGGGTCCCATGTTGACCTCCCAGCTTGCCATTCCCTCTTGGGATGCCCAGTGCCCTCCAACATATGCCCTGAAGACCCCAAAAGGTGTCAGAGCCAGCCCCATCAGCAGGATGCTGGAGCACCGGCAGGGGATCATCCCCAAAGGCATCAAAAATAGGGCTGGGGTGCAAGGGATGATGGGGCTGAGGCTTAAAAAAAGGGTAATTCCAGGGAGGGTGAGGCCGCAGTGCTTCATGAAGGCCTGTCTTGTTGGGGCATCAGCCGGGGACAGAGTAGCCATTTCCTCTCCTGGGTACCCCCGCCCTGGCGCTGACTCAACCCTGGCCGCTTCTTGGAAATGGTCTCGCCTGGCTTCACCCCTCCTCATCCCTAGGCAGGGGGTATGAGAGCCTAGGACCACCACCCCCGGGGATGCTTTCACCCCACCACCACCCCATTGCCCAGGTGGGTGCCCTCAGGGGGCAACGGGGCCAGGGGCAGCCAGTCCTCGCACCCCGGCTTGCCTGCACGCTGCCAGCAGTGCCAGCCATGTGACTTAGACCCAGGGGGGACATCACCTGGGGCCTTTCCTCTAAAACGAGTGCGGCTGCGACAGCTCGTGATGCAGATGCCTGGGAAAAATACCAAGAACCAAAGAGGAGGGAGAAACCCAGTGGCAAGAGAGGTCCGGCCATGATGGAGGGTATGGGAGGTACCCCTCGGCTACTCCGCTGCCGCATGCCCTGATCCCTGTCTCCCCGTCCCCCCGGAGTTGCACCCCAGCAAGCCCACCGCTGCAGCACTGGATGCATGGAAAGTTGCAGGAGGCTTGGGGCCAGTGGCACGCGCCTGCGTTCGAAGAGTGTAAACAAGTCTATTTTTAAGCGGGAGGCGGTTGGGGAGGGCGAGCCGCCAAGGGCCAGGCTGCTCTGCTGCCGGCAGGGTTTAGTGAGGGGCCTCGAAGTGCAAGTGCAAGTTCCTGCCTTTCCCTATTGTTTTTTAGGGGGGGAAAAAAAATCAGTTGTAAATAGGAGGAGCTCTGCAGCAGGACAAATGTAGCGGGGACCTTGCAGGCCCCTCTTGCTCCATCTCCATCTTCCCTCCCACATGCCTCCAGGGACGGGACCCTCTCCCTGGGACCCACCTAGCCCCACTTTTTGAGCCCCGTAACCCCCTTTTCTTGCCCCTTCCCAGCAAACATGGATGTCACCAGCCCACTGCCCAGCCCGGGCTGCCAGGACCCTGCTGTGCCAGAGCGAGATGCCACCGTGGCCCTGGTCCCATGCCCACATCTCAATGGGGGCCTGAAGATGCCAGGACCACCTGGGAAAGCTGGGGCAAAGCAGAGGTCGTGCTGCCAAGGCGATGCCGATGGCGACATCATCCTACTCTCCACCATGTACCCCCGGCGTGCAGAGTGCGACCATGGCTTCCCACTGCCTGCCACTGAGCTGGGGGCCACGGCCCTGGTCACCACCAAAACCACCCAGAACTGTGCTGGAGAGGAGAGAGCCTGAGGACAACGTGAATGGGACTGGAGCTGCTCCCTGCAGACACCCAGAGCCTGTCCCTGGGGCAGGCAAAGCCTTTCATGGATGTGAGCTGTCTGAGGACGGGGTTGTGCCTTGACCAAGATCAGCCTTCTAAGATGACTGCCCTATTCCACTTTCCCATTTGTGCCGAGTCCCAAGTTACACCTGTAAGTGCTGGAGGAAGCCAAAGCGGATCACACCGAGTTACGCCGAACTGCTGACAGCTGCCACAACCGTACCTGTAGCAGAGGAGATGTGGCCAGCGAGGACAGAGCATGGCAGGGGCTGCTGTGCCATTTGCAATGCTGCTGTTGTGCCAGGATGGGTTTTCTGCTGGGTGGGTGATTCCTGGGAACATGGGGCTAGAACAGCAGAAAGAGGAGGGGGAAAAGAAGAAGACAGAGAGGGAAGCAGGGAGATACATTAGGACCAAATCCCACACTGCTGATATTAGCTCAATTTTTGCTACTGACCTCAATAAAAGGAGGCTTGGGGCCATATGGAGCAAGGCACATCCAGCATCTGCTCCATTCGCAGTCCTGCCCGTCCCCCTCCCTGCTCCCCGGTCTTCTGCACGCCATAATATCCAGGTCTCTCCTCCCTCTGAGTGCTCTCACACAGTTGCAGACATCCACCAGTGTTCATGGGAACCCCCTCCACAGCCGGATACCCCAGGAATGGGAAACAAGTCCGTCTGCCCAAGCAGAGAGCAAGGGAGGGAAGAGGGGGGAAAAAAATCTGTCTTTGCTCTGACCTACAATCACTGAAGTCAGGGACGACCAGGGGCAGGCAACAGAGACTGCTGGTCTAGAGGAGCTCCATGAGCTTGTCATTGTGGCCCGAGACAACTGTCACTTCAGTTCACTGTGGCTGCGGAAATACCACGTGTCACTTGGGATGGATGTTTCCATGCTGCACAAAACCAGGCAGGGAGTGATGCGAGCGTAGGCGGGATGACTTAATTTGTGAGTGTCTTCAAGGCTTTGCCTGTGTGCCAGAGCTTGCTGGCGTCGCTGGTCCAAGGCATTTCTCTGTAGATGGTTTTGCTCACTCGCCCGCAAGTGGCTTTACTGTGCAGGAAGGGCTTTGCTTCAGAAACGAACTCGTTAGTGTGGGATTGCTGTTCCCAAGTAATTACAGCAGCCGGTCCCCCTGGCTGAAC